AGATTGCTGGGGCCATTCAAATAATAAACAGCTGAAGTAAAATTAATAGTGTTTCGTTTCCTTTTATTCCATTCCTCTGATGTTGATAATTTTCTGTCTAGCTTTTCATATTTTCCCCCTGCTTATTCAAATATATCATATCTGTATACACTTATAGTCTGTTAACATGGAAACGCATATTACGAAGTGTACATGGAATCGCACATTACAAATTAATCTGTATCTTGCCCCTTTCCCTTCACCACATATTACTTGCAGCAGTTTTTAAGGAACTGTCCTCTCCTCTCAACCCTGTTTCAATTTTCCACATACCTAGTTGTTGAAATTATTATGCATGTGTTGCAAGGTGTGGATGTGTGATCCCAGAGGGGGCGGCGAGTCTCTCTCTTCCCTGGAATTTTGGGGTATCTTCTGGGTGGATGATTCTGTTATGTGTAAAACTTGGTAGTGGCACTTGCTGTTGTCCGTCATGTAGGATTCAGAGAAAGCTAGACTGCAGTGAGCAGAAGATAATGCAGATGTGCCAGAGAGAGAGAGAGAAAGAGATGGAAGTAGACAAACAGACAGATGATAGGTGATTGATAGATATATTGTTAGACAGATAGGTAGAAAAGGCAACATTTTAGGTGATCCACAAGGCTTCATTACATTCCCAAGGTTCAGCTCTGCCCCTGGACTCAGTGAGATAGGGTCCTTCCAATAAATCCTGTTTGCCTCATTGGCCTCCCATTGTTAGTACCTAAGCATGGACTCAACATTTCAAGCTCCCTATCAAAAAAACAAACAACTCAATTTTAAAAAATGGGCAGAAGACCTAAATAGACATTTCTCCAAAGAAGACATCCAGATGGCCAACAGGCACATGAAAAGATGCTCAATATCACTAATAATTAGAGAAATGCAAATCAAAACTACAATGAGGTATCACTTTGCACTGTTCAGAATGTCCATCATCAAAAAGTCTACAAATAACGTGCTGGAGAGGATGTGGAGAGAAGGGAACCCTCCTACACAGCTGGTGGGAATGTAATGTGGTGCAGCCACTGTGGAAGACAGTATGGAGATTCCTCAAAAACCTAAAAATAGATTTACCATAATGATTCAGCAGTCCCACTCCTGGCCATATATCCAGAAAAGATGAAAACCCTAATTTGAAAAGATAACATGAAGCTCAGTGTCCATAGCAGCACTATTTACAATAGCCAAGACATGGAAGCAACCTAAATATCCATTGACAGGTAACTGGATAAAGAAGATGTGGCGTATATTCACAGTGGAATACTATTTAACCATAAAAAAGAATGAAATAATGTCATTTGCAGCAACATAGGTGAAACTAGAGATGATCATACTAAGTGAAGTAAATTCGAAAGAGAAAGACAAATATCATATGATATTATTTATATATGGAACCTAAAAAAATTATTGTTGGCTAGTGTAGCATTTGGGGAACCATCCCAAACAGTTTTTAAATTATGAAATCAGTTAAAAATGATGTTTAAATCATCCTTATGTTTCCCCCCACAAATACAGTCTTCATACAAAACAAGTCAGTAATTTGGCTGTCTCCAAGGGGAGTCCTGAGGATTTACTCAATACTGCGCTGACGCATTCAAGACTCACATGTTGGTTGCTAACAAAGCCTTTTCCTCCTAAAGCTACTTATTCTCCCTTGAAGAATAGAGTTTGCTTGGGTTGATAACTGTCACTGCAGAGAGCAAAGGGTAATTAAGTGACCTAGTGGGGCTTTGTCTGGCTATGATGTGAGTCTCACTGCTCCCCCAAACTTCTCTTTCTCGCTTTCCCACCTTCTGCATGACTGACCAGAGGCTCTGTCTGCTGCCTGATGCATGGAGCCTTCTTTCATTCAACCATGGGGCTGTTTTTCAGGCAAGGTCCTTAGTGTCCGTCTTTGCCTTCTTCAAGATATTTTCTTTAGAAACAGAAAATTGCTCATGGATCCTTATGATCTAGGGCTTGCTTGGAACTTGGTTTCTCTAAGGGATGGTCAGACAGGCAGACATGGAATTCACTGACCACAGAAGTACTGCTTTCCTATGCATGACTGGTTCATATTTTAATTTAATTTTACTAATTTGTTTTAAGTTGAGCCCAAGTGCAGAAAAATGAAATCGCTAAAGATCCAGCAACAGATTTCCTGGGCATCAAATACAATCTGGGAATCTCAGAAAAAGGGAAACACTTGGATCACAACTAGATTTTCTAATAGTACATCTGCAACTTGAAAAAAAAGAGAGAAGAGAAAAGAAAAAAGAAAAGGAAAGAAAAATGAGAAGTGAATCTGTGCTGTGGTTGAAAGAAACTTGTACTTGATCACGTTTCTTTCCTCCTGGGGGTGCTGGAGCTGGAGTAGGGGTGGGGAGCAGGTGATGCTTCCTTTCCCCAAATGTTAGGAAAACATTTCCTACAGGCAGGGGATTGGATTTGTTAATTTCTTTTGGCAGGAGAGACATGGGCTTATGTGGTATGATTTCTGGGAGGTGGTTCTAATGAGGATTATGGCAAGGAACAGTAGTAGATTACTAAAACTAGCTCAAGTGAAATGAGTTTTATTATAAGGATGCAGGAGGCTTCAAAGAAACTCAAGTTTAGAAGAAGTTGCTGGACCTCTTGTGAACAGGACTTAATAAACTGGAGATTCACTGTCTATTCCATCACTCCCTCCATCTCAGAAATGCAGTCTCCAGAATCTGCTTTTGTCTATAAGTGTGGTCAGTCCTCCTGTTTCTTCTATTTCAACTTGCACTTCTTCCTTAAATGGCCAGTTTGGGAGACTGTAGACCTCTCCTCTGCAGCACCCAGTGCTTACTGGAACATCTCAGCATCTCGTTCAGATCCTAGGGAGAGGAAATCTAGCAGCCTTTCTTTAGTAAGGAACCGAGACTTTCATCTTCAATCACCTAGGAGGCCTTGAATTTAAATTTTACTGAGAGAGACATTTAAATCAGTTTATACGATAAGGTGAATGTGTGATAATGGCATTCTATCTGGAGCATCCAGGCATTTTACAGTCAATTATGGAGTCCCTAATATGGTTGCTCTGCTGGATTTGGGGGCTTCAAAATGAATACTTTTGGAGAGGGAAAGAGGAGAGAGGGAAGGAGTTTCTTTAAATCTGAGTTCTTATAGGAAGAAAGATGCCTAAAGAGGAGAAGGATACAGACATATTATATTGGCCTTGGTAAACAAGATACCTATTGACTATTTAGCAGTTCTGCCATCAACAGAGCTTTTTTCTCAAACTTCTCCCAGCCTGAAATTGAACAGCCCAATTATTAGTTACTAAACAGCTTTTTGAACAAGGAAGTTGGAGTACTTACCCTTACAGGAGAAAAAGGGGAACCAAATTAGATCCAGCCCCTGTCTTCAAAAGACAGCATCAAATGAGAAGAAAGTGCAGCTGCTATCCAGGCAGACTGTGGCAGGATCTGGGAGAGAGTTACAAAGTGCGGCAAGGGTTCAGGTAAAAAGCTATGCTAGGCTTGGGGTGGGGGAAATGAGGTACCAGTTCACCCTATTAGATTGTAGGTTAGATTCATTCAACACTATTACAAATACCAGGGTAGGAGCACCTGCCAGTCAGTACTGATACTGCCCCCCAACCCCGAGCAGAATCTGGGGCCCCCTGTGGCTCCAGGCACCAACTCTTTAGTTGCAAAATTATAGGGAGGTGGGGGCCTGGAAAATACCAACCAATAGGAGTATTTCCAGTGTTAACAGTTGGAGCTTCAGGTAGTGCTTATGGCTCAACACCCAGCCCTCCCGAAGGACCTTTTGAGGGGACAGGACTGGAGATACAGGCCTGGCTTCTACTGTGGAAGGGCTTGAATCCATGCTAAGGAGGGGGTTCTTTCAGGAGGAAATAGGGAGCTATCCATCTGGGGAACATTGCTTGACAAACATCCCTTCAGTTAACAATGCGTCAGTACATTTTTAGGAGCTCCGAAAGGCTGATGGGGGTGCCGTTTTGATTAAAGATGTGGTGCCTGCCCTCTGGCAGCTGGAAATCTAGAAGGAATTTGGGAAAGGAGTGACAGGACCCCAGAGCGTCACAGAACTGGAGGGCTGACGGGACCTTAGGGGAGTCCCGCCGGCTCAGAAAGGGTAAGTGACTGGGCCAAGTTCACGCAGCCAGTCACAGACAGAAACAAGCCTTTCCGTCCCAGAGGTGGCTGCGGAGGAGGACGAGAAACCTTGCGGATCAGAGGCCAAGATGGCAATGGGGCGGCACAGAGGGGAGTGCGGCACATCAAGAGGGAGAAAGGTGCTGTATTCTTGGGGTGGGTAGCTTTCTTTAGGGGTAACATTTAGGAGGACTTATTCTTGCTGAGTTAAATCCCTTTCTCTCACTCTTTCCCTGGCCTTGCCTGG